GTAAGGTTCAGAATCGATCCCCAGATGCAGTAATCTGTTTATTAAACTCAATACCAGTGCATTTCCAGACGCGCGACACGACGCCGACGCAACTATCAATTCATTTTATCTAGCAAACATGGCCGACTATCATCTGTCTTATTAATAGGTTAGGAATTTAGTTATATTTAAAAACGAATATGAACCACGTTAATTAGAAAGTATACCACCAAGTAACTAAATTTACAAGACCTCGTTTACTGAACTTCAAGTTGCCGTTGAAGTATTAACGTATTCTGGTTGATTATTGACCAAGGAACGCCGTCGCCGTGTGAAACGTCTATTTATACCTCAGCCAGATCTTAGATCAGCCATGGCTAAATTAAACAGTGTTTAGCGTGCGGGAAGATTTTATTTAAAAATGTGTTCTCATACTGCATTTAGTACGTGTTCTTAGTAAACTTGGGGGTATTTTTTTATTGAAAATCGTCTGAAATCTTGTTGAGATAAGGTTGTTGTTTATATAATATAAAAGCAAAAGCTCTTACTTAAACAACTTTTGCTCTATGATGCGCAGTAAAGGAATAAAATGAGTGAGTTCAATAATTTTCGAGTTCTCAGGTTTTCGCGATTGTTACACATAGGAAATGAAACTATTTTTCAGGATTTAAATATACTTGTTTATACGTATACTTGTTTTTTCAAATGAACCAAAGTTTCGGGCCCTCTATAGGTCCCATGGTTACCGTGACGCGGTTGACCGTGACGCGATTTAAATCCGGTAAAATAGTTTCATTTCCTTATCCAATAGTTTTTTCTTTACATTTAAAATACAGCGTGTTATGTTTTGGTTATGCTGATGCTTTTCTGAAATCTTTTTCATCTTTTTGTTTTTAGCAAAACTGTGATCTCTTCCTCTCACTTTCTATTTCTGTCTCTATCTTTCATTCTGTGTGATCGTGTTGTTCACATAGGAGTAAAACTCCTTGTGAAAGAGTTCGTCTAGGGAAATACTGCCACCTTACCTATTTCTACCGTCAAGCAGAAATGCTACGTCCAATACCAGTGCCCCTAAGATCTTTGTGATTTGAAGCTATGAATGGCATTGCAACTGTTATGGATAACGTGTCGCTTACCACTATGTGCACGACATATTTGTCCAATCATTTGGTACCTTAAAAAAAGTGATGGTTATATATTTTTTATTATTATTTATTTATTTAATTCAGGCAACATGACCCAAGTAATATGTACCTTAAGGTCAAAGTCAAAGATTATTTATTCCATAGGTAAAATAAATTTACACTTGAAAACGTCACATTTAAGCTACTGCTCGTTCACTACGCTGACCTCCTTGAGAAGAACGAGCAAGAAACTCTAGGGATTGCTCTTTTCAAATAAACTTAAATGCTATGGAATACACTTTGAATCAAATTTGTGTGGATTCTGGAGCCATGTCGTCTTTCCATACATCTTTATCTAACACGTAGTCTTCAATTTTGTAATATGATTTTGCGATCAAAATATTTTTAATGTAGTTTTTAAACTTAGGAAATGATAAACTTAATATATGCTCCGGACTCTTATTGTAAAAACGTATACAGGTCTAACATACATACAATATAATAAAACACTATTTATTTATTTACACGTATGGACTGCGACGTGTGACGCAATTTGGGTGTCCGGTAACTGGCCTCGGAAACGTCGGTACATGACACTCTTCAGCCAAAACCCTTCATGAAGGTCGACACATGTTGAGTTGGTACTCTCATCACAAATAAAATTCACTATGTCGCGTGACCCCAACCGCTCGACCCTCAGAGTACCATTGACTTTCACCCGTATATAGGTACTCCATGAAGTAATGAAGCCGTGACAAGTATGACGCAATAGATGATTGGGGCCAATCGGGGCGGTATCACTAAGGTTACGGCTGGTGTACTTCTTTTTCCGTTCCACCTCTTTGAAACCGTCCTCATGGCACTGATCAACTTGTCTCGGTGCTACTGACGACACAGCTCCTGGGATGATTGATGCTTATTAGACAAAAAAGATTTTTTTTTATTGATAGAGGCTAGTTGATTTATGAAACATGCAGACTAAATGTTGCAACTCATTTTCAGCATCTTCAGTTTCACTTCTAATATCCGACATATTTTTATGCTCTATTTTGATTTGCTCCTACCCTGAAGCCTTTCAATCTCACCATCAAACAAATGTTTAATATTATATCTATCTTCCCGCTCCAAATTTTCCGCGAACGTAATAATCTGCACAGAGAGAAGTTGAAACGAACAAAATCGTTTTCTTGTTTACCAGATACATTTCCTTCGAATATGTAGTACGCAACCAAGTTAAATTTGCAGTCAACGTAACCTTTGTCATCTTAAACTTTATTGAAAGTTATTTCGTTGAATCGCTAAGTACGGGTCTAAGAGGTTTTAAGGTCCCAAGTACTCAGCCCTGGCTGAAAACATGCTCTTAATATTTAACATGTATTTTTTTTACTTTATAAATAGGGTTTCTATGAAATCAATGCAAAACTGGAAGCTTATTATTGTACTTATAAACAAACAGCTTTTGTTCCATGGCCTCAGGGGATTCATAAAAAACATTTTTTCTGACGTGCAGAACTTGGACTATCCTAGGGTTAAGTGCGAACGGCAAAGATAAAAACTGCAAATCAATATTTACTAAGTTCAAAACAAACTTCTTAAATTTCGGAGTTGATAAACACTCCTTATGATGTTCATGAAGAATTCAGATTTAGTAGCATAGAGCTCCTTGTGTAGCAAAGAGTTCGTCCAGGGAAGTACTGCCACCTTGCCTATTTCTGCCGCCAAGCAGTAATGTGTATCACTGCGTTCCGGTTTTTTAAAGGGAAGGGTAGGCTGATGAAATTACAGGCACATGGGACTTGTCATGTATCTGGATGATGGGCACGGTGGCAGTGCACGACTTGTTCCTCCCGTCACTTGGTGTTATAAAAAAAGACATTTAAAGTGTTAATGAGCACAACTTGGAGAGGCCTGTATATCAAAGATGGTATGTAAATCTGGTCAAAGTTATTTCTAAAGCTAGGAAAAGCTCAAAGTCCTGGACTTATTTCACCTGTATCTATAAGTTGGTGGCAATAAGCATGTCCTCTTATCTGTGCATGGTGGTAGGTAGGTCGCACGCGCGGGAGCGGATAAAAATGCTAATCCCTCTGTCGAGGAAGTGTATGCCATGAGAGCAACTTATCTCTTATCTTTTTGTTAGGACGGTATAAGTGAACATGCTAGTAAGTGTACTTCGAGGCTGATAAGCTAAGGGCCTTTGGATAAAAGAGAGAGAGAGAGAGAGTAATATGTAGTCGGCTGTCAATTATCAAACATAAACGGGTATGAAGAGATTGACGCTAGTGAACGGGGATAAAGAGCTTTAACAGGTGAGTAACAAGTGACAGTTCATGATCTCTGCCTAGATCACTGCAACACTTGCGAATTGTAATGATGGTTTCTCAATAAAAATATGAGATTAAGTTTTATTGACCGTTCATTCTTTTAGTAAACGGTGTCAAATTTCATTGAATATCGTACTCAGAGGAATCGTGTCCAGAAAACTATCAATATTTCGTCTTTATATAGCAAAGCTTATCCTTTGATGGCAACTGCCAGTTTTCAGGTCGCAAACAGAAACTGAAAGCTCCTTAGCGTGTTTCGTCTATGGCTCCACGGTACCCATGATTTCTACTGCAGAAGTCACAAAGCTGAAGTACTGCTGATGGATGTTCTAGAGACGGAAAATTATATGAATCTCGTATATTTTAAAAACACAGTTAAAATAACATAATCAGTGTAAATTCTGGATAAAGAAATTGGAATGAAACGGCCTGAGATATGGTTTCCTGTCGCGTTGAGCCAGAGACAGAGAAAAAATAGAAGAGAGCGATTTACACTACGGATCGCCTTAAAAAGGCGCCCTAAGGGCGATCCTAATATGAACTAAATATTGATATTTTGAACGCCATCTAGAGAGTTCACAAGGTACTAATTGATAAAACCTAATACCTCGCGCTGTAGTGTTTGTTACGTAGCGGTGCTCGCCAGGTGTTGCTACTAACAATCAGGTCTACTTGACTCAATATTTTCAAGAAATTGTGTTCTGAAGGACCAAAAGTGTGATTAATTTACCGATGTCGACGAGGATTCTTTCAGGCGTTAAGTCGTATAACACGTATCAAATCTTCTTCATGTCCTTTTTTCCTCTGTACAAGATGACAGCCACTACTATTGTAGTTTTTATAAGGTAACGAGAACATAGGGCGCAGATATACACCCGATAAAGTAAAAGGCGAAATCTAAATGGAAAACATACTCGTGTTATTCCACCTCTTTGTTGTCGACTCAAATATTCACTTTTGCTGGGCTTGAGTTTGTTTAGTTTGCAAATAACTATTCTTTTCACGTGTTCTTTAAACGCGCGATAAGCCAAGCGTTGTGTACAAAGATTTTGGCATTGTCTATTGAAAACTGCATATTTTTACAGTTCGTACAAATATTCTTTATCTTTCATGATATTTTGAGTCATTTTAAAATTGGGACATACTTGGAAAATTGCTCGCCCGTATTTCTATGGACTCTCTTCAATGCCACCGACCTTTATAGTTTAGGTAAATGAATTGAATTAAAATGTGCCACATCAATAACCTGGGTCCCGAATTCGGTAATTTTCTTGAAACTCCATTGAAATTATATTGCAATTATGATAAACTGGTATTTTTATTTTGTAACTAATTATAATATATTCCGCATCAACTCACAGCCATTAATATGAAAATAACGCTTTAGAATAACAATAAAGTTCCATAAAAATACACGTTTGTACAGTGTCAATTCAGGAAAGTGATAGTAACGTCAGGTTGATATAGAAGAAATTATTTGTAACATGAATTTTGGCGCTGTTGTCAACACAATGCACTTTTGGTTTTGATTTATTTTCGTTAATAATGTGTTCTTCATCTCTCTCTTTCACAGACACGTGACGAACTAAGAAAACATGGAGCAGTTTGAATCGCTGCTAACGTGTTGCGTCTGTTTGGACCGCTACCGAAATCCTAAGCTGCTGCCATGCCAGCACAGCTTCTGTATGGAACCGTGCATGGACGGCCTTGTCGACTACGTCAGGCGACAGGTTCGTTGTAATATAGTGGTGTCAATTCTGCAACCTTCACTAATGTTATTCATTCTAAACTATGACATGGAAATCAAAAAAGACAAAAAGAGATTCGACATTTACGTAATTGTCAAAAAGAGTAATTGCTTAAGCTTCCTTGTGGCGATATATACTTAAGGTATATAATGAAGTAGAGTAGTGTATATAGTGCTACTCCTCAAACTACTTACTTCTACAGTAATTCAGAAAAATAAACTTTTAAAAAGAGTTTAAGTTGTATAGTTGCGTCTTGGTTAAGCTTTTTTACTGGTTTGTAAAATATCATGATTGAGTTGGCTAAAAAGTTTTTAATGGCCTTGTAAATTGTCGTTTGTAATAACTGCAGTTCGTTATATCTTCGTGCATTATTTTGTCTTAACCTTAAATACATGTTAATCTAAAATCAGTACAATGCGTCCATTATAACAAATGCAGTACGATTACTAAGGTCTTTATTTTTCGTGCAGGTCAAATGTCCAGAATGCCGTGCAGAACATCGAATCCCTTACCAAGGGGTATCGGGATTCCCGACAAATGTAACTCTTCAGCGGTTTCTAGAGCTGCACGCTCAAATTGCTGGAGAACTCCCAGATCCTACCGCTGGGCAGGTTATGGAGAGATGTAATGTTTGCTCAGAAAAAGCCTACTGCGCTCTATGTGCCCACTGCGACAAAAAAGTTTGCGATGACTGCAAAGCTGCCCATATGGAAGTTCTCCGTAGAGAAATCGCCAGAATCAATAACCAAATCCGCCGTGGTGTAAACCGAATTCAAGATATCTTGGGAATCGTAGAACGCAACACCCAAAACCTTCAAACAAACTGTGCTGCAGTAGCAGGAGAAGTAGATGAAATCAACAAACGTCTAGCAAAGGCTCTTAAAGATAGAACTGACTTCTTAAGAAACGAAGTAGACCGTTATTTAGCCACTGAACTTAGAAACCTAACCCATCTAAAAGATAATTTAGAGTTAGAGTTAAGTAATATACAAAGCAATTGTGATCTCGCCGATAAATATATGAATGACGATATTGAATGGGACGACACGGAGTTAGTAGACACCAAAGAAATATTCCTTAAGACAGTTGAGTTCTTAAGAAACTTTGACTATGAAGCTGGTGATTATAATCGCAGAATAAGGTTCATTATGACCCATGATCCTAATCAGCTGGTGCTACATGTTGCCAGTTATGGAGAGTTAAACATCACTCAACCAGGAGCATATGGAAGTGTCATGCCGCAAAGCCAAGGTCTGACAAGGTCAAAAAGCGACCATCGATTGGCAACGCAGTTTCGTCAGCAAGAAGAAGCAAAGGGATATTACGAGAACGATGAACCTCTATTAGGTGGTCGTAAATTCGGTGAACCAAAACCGCCACCTCCCGAAAGAACTAGGGATTATGGTGCTACCGATGACTATAGCGGATACGAGTCTGAACATAGACCATCTCGTAGATTCAGATCTCGCTTTGTAAGAAGCCATCAGCAGGACGATTCTGATTCAGAACAAACTAGTCACGTAGTCAAAGAGGAAAAGAAGGAAAAACCAAAGGTTACTGACACTGAAGACGCAACTCGAGGCCCTCTCAGCGGAATCTTCAGACTGAGTGACTGCCCGCGTGTAATGCAAAGGATATTAGATGCGGATAGTGGAAAAAAAAAGGAGAAGAAAGAAGCACCACCACCACCTCCGCCGAAGCCAGTCCAGCCAGCGCCACAACCACAGCGCCGTCCTCCAGCACCAGCGCAGAGGCAACAAAGCGAAGATGATGAGATCTCAAGACTCAAAAGACAAAACAAAGGTGCAGCCTCTTCTCAGGAACCAGACAGATCAGCACCACGACCTGCAGAAGAGGATCGAAGCTCAATAACCCGTAAACCACCGACACCCGCTCGGGAGGTGAGTTGGGAAGAGGACTGAGAAGCAGTATTAAGAGCAACCGCAGTACAACGTAGAACTTAGACAAATCATCGATACTAACAAGGAAAACGCGACAACTAACGGCATTCCATAAGATACACTCCACGTTTAACTTACTTTTTACACATAGAACACAACACAAAATATACCAACGTTTTGGTATCCATACCGAATTTCACTATATTTCTCAGGAATCCAGCGGCGAATCCGATGATGAATCTGTTTCTGTGCAACGGTCGCGCAATGAACGTAAACCAGCCGCTCCAGCACCTAAGCCGGCGGTTACTACTCCGAGAAGACCGTCAGCGACGGAAGTAGTCACGCCACATCGACCGGCAGCCCGTGCGCCAAGCACTGAATCTAGCGCATCCACTGAAAGCTCCGGCTCGGCGGTGAAACACACAGGTGCGATTCTCACCATCGCAGAATTGAAAGCCAAATACAATCCAGGCCTTCCACCAAAACCTGCAACTCGTTTCTTGTCCACAGGCAACGACAGACCAGCACCGGTCACAACGAACGGTACAGCTGGCGGCGCACAAAGGGTGCAAAGCCGTTTTGTCGGCACTCAGCGGCCAACGCCCGCCCCGGCGCCCGCCGAGCCGGCACGGGAAGACTCCGACAGTAGTTCCGAAGAGGAAACTGACTCTTCTGAAGAGAGCGAAGAGGAGCCTGCCACGCAAAGAAAGCCCGAGAGCCAGGCGATGGCTCGCAGCGATATAGGCCCATTACTCGCACGCAGTTCCAATGCTCGCAATGACGCTCATGATACTAAGAAAGAAACACCTTCGCAATCACGATACCGCTCAAGACAATCGTCTCAGACTGAAGAAGAAGAAAAACCTACGTCTCGGTACGGCTCTGGTGGCTCTTCGTACAGTAGCAATCGTTACGGTAGCAAACCAAGAGATGAAGAAACTACATCTTCTTTAGATGATGATTCGAAGTATCCCACAGCTCGATCAAGATACCTCGCTTTGAAAGAGCGACGCAACCGCCTTGCTAGAAGCAAAAGTAGTCATACTGGTTTTGGTGCAGGGGACGACGATGATCTTGATGAACCGGTATCTCCTACTACAGCGTCACCTTCCGCGTACCTTGCGGCTCGATATGGCTCCGGAACCGGAGGGTCGGAGTTATCTCGTAGCCGATCTTCTCATGCGTTAAAATCTCGAGAAAGCTCACCTGAACGAGTCGCAGCTAGCGGCGAGAAAGATGGAGCAGCCTTGAGTTCTTGGGCTAGGTATTTGAAGAGTAAATATGGATCACGGGGCAAAGATCGCGATACAAGCAGCACGTCGTCGAGCACGTCGCGTCGCCTGTCTCTCGGGCTGCCCTTGCGTTCAGCTAACGAGCTTGCCAGTTCTGATGACGATTCAAAAAACGCGGCAGGCTCCCCCATCTCCCCTACGGCGGCTACAGCAGCGGTAGCAGGTTAGAAATACGAGTGGCGTGTACATAGATTTGGTGCTTCAAGAAGTTGGGTTTATCGATCAAATTGATTCTTGATACTAATTTGATTGTTTGATCTCAGGTTTCGCAGCAGCAGGTTCCTCCCCTAGGAGCCAATATCTGCAGAAACGCCGTTTACAATTCAGCGTGGGGAGTCGGGGGAGCGAACCCGGCTGTTTTACATGGCCTCGTGGCATCGCTGTTGGTCCCGACAATACTATGGTCGTGGCTGATTCATCTAATCACAGAGTTCAGGTAATTCCTCATTTCATCATTATTCTGATTAATTCATGGTTTAATGAAAATTTATGAAAGTAAAATTTATTAGAGAAAAGTTCTGGCTTGTACTTGGAAATTAATTTCTTTCCAAATACAATCATTGGGTAATATAATAGTAACGGTTGTACAAGAAAAAGATACTAATTGTACACAGATTCTTTACAATAAAAGCAATTAACGTTGCCAGAATGTTTACAGTCCAAATTTACGGAAATAGTTTCCGCCTGACCTTGTGCCAACTCCGGTGGTGAATATGAATTCCTAACATTTCGCATTTCCCTGAATCCATGCCAACTTTATCAATTAAGTTTGCGTAACACGTATGTACATAGTACGAATGCTAAATCTACTTTGAAGTACTTAATTGCTTTACACGATTAAAGTTTTGAATTCCCAATCTAGCACAATAGCATCATTTTTCGCTAGATTATAAAGCTGTTATTTGTTTTAGTAAATTCCTTTCTTTACTTGTCTTCCTTTCAGCTATATATTTGCCTTCAGAAGCTTTATCTTATCCAAAGTAATTCAAATTACAGCTGACACTTTTCAAAGAACGTTCGCTTCTTTGCTATCGGCTTCCAGTTGCGCACCGTTCTCTTTTCATCAAAATATTTTAATTGAAGTGTCTTCTAAGTTTTGCACTTTTATATCTTGCGAAAGCAGATATCTAGCTTCAAACTTGCATTTTGATTATAGAATCTGTTCTACCTTTCTCACATGTTTGTGCATCTCTTTCATACGAACGGCATTAAAGATACATTGACTCGGTATTGTCAGTAAGATTAATTGAAACTATCGCATTTTGCTTTTCTACTTCGTAAGCACGGCATTTAGATACGCATATAATATAGTTAGGATTTATTAAACTCAAATTATCCACAAGTGTAAATTTCGTGTAGATGTGGGTAGGTATTACTTAAGTAAGAGAGACAACAAAGAATTACAAACAAAGAACTATAATTAGTTAAGAAATAACCGACGTCTACCCTTTAACGTACCCAAGTCTGCTTTCAGACATGTGTTGAATCTCGTCGCGATAATTTTAGAAAATTTTAAATATCTCTTACTACATATTATGGCCTGAATAGTCATTGCAAAACTAAAATGACATGAACTTAACCCCATTATAAATATGGTGTCGTTGTTAAAGCCACATGCGATCACACGTGATAATCTCAGTACGAAGTACTCAAAAAAACCGATTCATTCATTCCCTAGTTTGTCGTCCTTAGAGGTGGATAATTTTCTTCAAATTTAAATGGGACCATTTCTGAGGTACCCTCTTTCTAACAAAAAAAGAATAATCAAAATCGATTCATAATAGTCAGGAGTTATCGCGTAACATACATGCATACAAAAAAAGAATCTTGAAACCTTTACAGAAAAATTGTCATTTTGCTATATGTACCTATGTCATTCCCGATTACCTAATTTATTTGATTTATCCATAATTTATACAATACAAGTCCATATAGTGTTAGTAACTACTTAGAAACCACGTTAGTAGAATGTAAAGTGTTCATTTTCATGTTCGTGGTTGGCTATCCATTGATTAAGGATCGGGCTTTCCATCCTGTCTGTTATCACCTTGAGAAGACCGTGCCACTCTCTTGCATACGACAGCCCCATAACCGTCGATTCTGACCTTCACAAACATCCTCGAGCAAAAGAGCATTGTTGAATTGGACATGTAATGTCCAGCACACCAAATGCTTGATTAGGCAAATCAATTATGGAATGTAACGTGTGACAATACATAACTTTCTAAAAATGTTTTTTTTTTCTAGGTGTTTGACTCAAATGGCATATTCATAAAGGAGTTCGGCCAATATGGTAGTGGTGAAGGCGAGTTTGACTGTCTCGCTGGCGTCGCCGTCAACCGCATTGGCCAGTACATCATTGCCGATAGATACAATCATCGGATTCAAGTGAGTCTTTACGAAGTTACAACAAAGCCAAATAAAACCATTCACACACAGTATTAAGAAGTTAAACTAGAAAATTAAACTAGAGCTTTCCAGGTACCATTGTGTTGGAGCAATAAAAACCCAACTATCCCAAGAACATCAATTTAGAAAAGTATCGAGTTCTTAGGTTTTCGCTATTGTTACACATAGGAAATGAAACTATTTTTCCGGATTTAAATCGCGTATATTTGTTTTTTCAAACAAACCTTTGAATTTAGAAAAGTATTTTTCATAAAAAGGTATTCAAACCCGGGTTCTCTTTATGTGCTATATATAAGTAAACTGATAAAGATATTTTCCTTCGGTCTTCTCCACGCTTAGCACAGGGTATATTTGAAAATAGCGATAAAACTAACTACCTTTGTTCATCAAAACGAAAAACAACTTTTCAACAAAGCTCAACGCTTTCTGCTAACACGTATCTAAGATTTCTATTTTGTCTATTCATTTAAATATACATAGAATCATGAGGATCTACTCAAATTTGTGCACAGCAGTGGACGCATGTATTGACAATGATGGGTATAATGTCGCCGCCAAATATCCAATTTTAGACATGTGACCTTAGAATAATAACGCTTAGAATGATAGTTTCATATCAAACGAACTGTCGCAAGTGAGGCAAAAATCAAATTCATGTAGGCTAGTTTTAGTAGTAGGTTAATTTTCGGTTTGAGTGTAAGTAATATTTATATAAAAATACAAGTTGAAACGCATTACTTCCTTGTGGAATGTGATGTTAATATCTATTTTATATTTGTCTGACGTATTTTTACACTCATTTACCGCACATTTCGTCATTTTTAGCTAAAATTCTTGATCTGTTCGCGGTGCAAGTTGACCTTGAGCACTGAAGGCCCGCCCGCTCGTGTAGGCCCATTGGGTGCGCTTCAATTTGCCTCAGCGTGTGCGGACTAGGTTTCTATGCGTTATTATTCGAAGCATGTGACCTTGTTGAAGCGTGAGAGCTTTAATATACGACTCTGTCCTGTTTGTATTCAAAGAACTTCAATAAAACATGTTTCATATAGAATAAAATATACAAAATTTGCATAAAGTTATTCAAGTACCACGAATAGAAGTTGAATTTACGTCGTAAAGGAAACCATGTCGGTATAAATCACATCAGTACGAGTAATGCGGAAATCTGAACGCATTTACATAAATATGAGATGCATGTGTTACGACCACAATATATTGGTCTTTGACAATATAGATTTATGTCCACAACACCGCATTATAATTCTTTATTATTATTGAACGTAATTTACAATTTTGATGAAACCAAGTTGTTGGCGAGACGCTTGCCTGGTAGCTTTAGAAAGATGGATAAAGGCGAAAGATGGAGCTTCTTTTGGGATTTTTGGGAACGTATGTCTCCAGCTATATTTGTATGACAGCTGAATACCAAAAACAAAACGTCAAAAAGAATACAAATTTAAAAGGAATAAAATCTATAAATGTATCAAAAAGTATGTGCTCGCACACAAAGTTTTTAACTGAGTTCCATTTAAATCCGTCAAGATTTTAGCGTCTATTAAAAATGTATTAGTGTTACAAGCATTGACTTACAATTATATGGACGTGGGGTCCGCGCTAAAAAGTGACCGAACTTATAGGGCGTTAAAATCGTATACAGAGCGTCATTCACGCTTTAGTCTTCGTTTGTTCGACTGACAGCGAAGCAAGCAAAATTAGACAGTACTGCGATGACATTACAATTCAAATTCAACGTTTTAGCTTTTTCATATTCCTTTACATGTCACTACATTTAAATAGGTTGACTTGGGACATTTATTTCGTGGTTTGTGTATTAGACCCGTCGTCCATTTATTTGTAAGTCAATGGTTACAACGAACAAAATTCTTAAAACAAAATGAAAAGCTAAATTCCTTTATTTGAGTTAAATAAATCCTTAATTTAACGAGCAATCCTGAGATCCGGATTCAATTTGTCGTTCTTGAATATTTTTACCTGTGTTTTCTGCTCAAGTATGTTGATCATTTTAGTGCGTTAATCATTACGGGCTATGACAGAATCAGTAAGGGCTATGTATGACTATAGGCAATAATATTAACATTTGGACAAATTAATGCCAAAGGGTTTTTATGAAAAAAAGATTATGATGATGCATTCATAAAATATTCTACAACAAATGCTGTTCACATGACAGTTACTTGAATTATTCGAAATTATTCGAAAAAGCCGTAGGTTTTCAAATGCTGACGCAAGTCCAAATGCTTGGCATCTGAATCAGGCCCTCTGATGTGGTGGTGGCATCAGGTGATGCTCTGCCGCTGATGTCATCTTATTGGAAACTCCACCTTATGGACCCAGTCACATAAACGCTATTTTATTCACGTTTGCGAATACGATATGATTCAGACGACGTCGTCATATGACTGTAAGTGTCACAGTCCGCCGCGACATTGCGTTTCGTACTTCTGTACGAAATTACATTTAAATATGAAATCTTTATTAGTGGAAAAGAAATTAAATTTAGTATTAGTTGATTGATTTTAAAAATGCCTATTTCGTTCAGTGTGTAATGTCGGCTGGTATATAATTAGTAATAAAATAATGTTCCAGATAACCACACCTAATTACCTGGTCTCGAAGTAAGAAATTCACTTTCCACCAAAATCAGGATCAATTTAGAAAAATTCATTTCCCAATTGAGTCTCAGGTCCGTTATGCCATAAAGTTCATCTTATATCACTTAAAGGCAAAGATCTTGACTCAGTGGTTGTTTCATAAATCGTTAATCAAAGTCCCGAATCAGGTCGCGTATAAACATGTAAATGACATACCAAATGTACGATGCAGTGTCACTTACAAATGATAAAGCAAAGGCATACTCTGTGAATAATACGTGAAAAAGAGTTTCTCAATTAACAGGTTAATGATATTAAAAATGGTGCCCAGTAATGAGATGAATGAATGTTAGATAAATTGAACGACCATTTAAGCTTGCTCAGGTTGCCATTTTTTCTTTGTCGAAATGAAAGTTTGTTTTTTAAATCTCAGCCATAATCACAATCAAAATCAATTCATTAAACAAGCAGTACAAAAACAAATACTAATAAATAATCAACGAAATAGAGAACTAGGAACCACATTGCTATCGCTAATATTCTACCATAGCCTTTAATGGATAACACACCAAAAATTATCAAAAACATATGGAGAAACGATAAATTAAAATTACAAAATATTCATAAAGTAGGCATAAATTCGTTCCCTTGTTATAATAAAAACCACAAACTACATAAATTAAAGACACTTGGGATCATACGTCAAAATCATAATTTTCAGGTTAGTTTTCTTTACCTAATTTCGGTGGCAATATTTATTATGTAAGAACTCGGGTAATATATCGTAAAATATTAAATAATATTTTAGATTATTACACTCGAATATTAAATAATACTTCCTCATAATATTCCAGAATATTTAAATAACAAACATTGCCACTGTTGCAAAAAACTAACCTGAAAATAACACAAAACAGTTTTCATTACATGAGTCATAAAAATAATACGAACTAAATTAAAGAAGTAGCGTACATGTGAAACTTTACAACTGTCCTATTTAAATATAAAAAGTTATCGCCAAATTTCTTTCGTAAAATCTTTTTAACTTGAATAGTAGCAATTTTGCAGATGATTGATGATTTGCAGAATTCTTAAAACACCAAAGGTGCAATTTATAAAAAATGTGATTTGTACAAGAAACTATCGCAATACAACAAGATTTTATATGCCTTATTAATTTACTGGGGTACCTAAGGGAACTTAAGAATTACGAAAATGAGTAGTGAATTATGAAAGTATTAACAATAATAATATTAATAATTATGTGTCAGCAACCATATTAATTACCTGATCTGCAACGAGGGAATTTCCTTTTTTATGGTTAGTAATGAGATTTGCTCCTGGACTATACCCAGAGTGGCAAAATGGGACCCAATTTAGAATAGTTCGTTTACCAAATCGATACTACCGGGAATCGAAACTAGCCATCCCTCTCGGTTCCTTAAATATTGTAAAATGATCGAAAGTCAAGTGGTAAATAAACTCAAGCGTTTGGTTTAATGTAAGCATTACTGCGTTTCAGGGTACTCGTGAAATTACAGATACATGGTTACTTTTCAACTTATGTCTCAGGATAACGGGCGCAAGGGCAATGCCCCTCAGATCTTTGCGATTTTAAAGCTCTGAGCGGCACTACAACGTTACCACCAGGCGCACGACTTGTAAGTCTCGTCACTGGGATCATAAAAAAGTTTATTCGATAAAGATAAGATATTCGAGAAATGATTTTAGAGTGTTTGTCTGTCATATTAACAATTGTTATTTATCCGTCAGGTCTTCGATCCTTCTGGAAGATTCCTCCGAGCATTCGGCAGTCAGGGAACAGGGGACGGAAAGTTTAATTACCCGTGGGGCATTACCACTGACGCTCTGGGCTTCATCTACGTCTGTGACAAGGAAAACCATAGAGTTCAGGTAAGTAATTGTTCTATATTGTCACTTTATACAAAATTGCTCTGATTGTCAATATTTATATACTTGAGTACTTAAAATGCATTAGGATCGTGTAAGCATAAGCCAAGATAATAACAATGAAGAGGTTGTTTGTAATAAACAAATATAAGACACAATTGCAAACAATTTAATCAAACTTACTGGAAATTTCAAAGTTAGAAAAAACATTATCAAAGAATAAAAATTACAAAGACTGTTCTGACTCCCTACGTAGAATAATCTGTACTATAATAACCAGTCTTGAACCCATCATACTACATACATCGAATTAAAATTAAGAACACTGATAACATTATAAATAATTTAGTTAAATGTGCTCAAATTGAGCAAACAAAACCTCGATAAGCTGTTACCACACTATAACAAGACAAGTGATCATCATTCAGAATGTAGGGTTGTCTCCTTATTATTTTAGTCGTATTTATAGATTGTAAAGGTAATTTGTAATAATTATGGTGTATATATTAATATTTTTATGCCCGCATCGCGGTTAGGTATCTCAATTTTGGGATTATAATCATGAAATGGAAATAAATACGTTTGCTATTTATTATATTTTTTTAAACATCGATCGAACGCTTCAATTCTATAATGAGTGTATTATATATCTGTCTGTGTCTATAATTACTGAGTGCGACGACACGCGCTTTGCAACGTGAATGCACCGCGAGATTATGCGTATGTGTGAGTTCGTATATGGCGCGTGTCGGGCGTGCATACATACAAGCCGCGCAGCTACGTTTCCATGGAGTTACCACACTTGTGTTATTATACTAATTTATTATATTGAAAAATATTTTAGCCAAAATTAAAATACCGCCTAGGACCCCCTCTCAAAGTATGAAAAATTCAACAGGTATTCCAATCGGATGGAACATTCGTGGGTAAATTCGGCTCTTTCGGGTCCAAAATGGGACAACTGGAGCACCCACACTACATCGCAGTCTCCAGCACCAACAGAGTGCTGGTCTCTGACTCCAACAATCACAGGATTCAGGTCTTCGATGTCAATGGACGAGTGTTGTCTTCGTTCGGAGAAGAAGGATCTGAAGACGGACAATTTAAATTCCCGAGGTAGGTGGATATATTTTTAGGGATTTTGGGCATTAATCGATGAAAATCTGGAAACCTGTGATGTCTAAATTCATTTAAAATAACTTGCACAAGAAGCATCAAAGAAAAGACGGTTAAATTGTATGAAAGATTATACTAGGGGAGTAAAAACGTGCCAACGGCTGATAAAGATGGTAAAAGTATATATATAACAAAGACATAGTCGATGCAAAAGTAGAGAAAGTTGATGATGAACTTGCACAAGAACATAATGATAATATTAACCTTAAATTCTTCAAAAAATCACAAAAAAAAACAGCAGAAGCAGCTGACCGTTGTCAAAATAGAAATATCACTATTAGTAATGAAAATCTAATGATTGGTAACATTGACTTACAATTATATGGACGTCGGGTCCGCGCTAAAAAGTGTCCGAACTTATAGGGCGTTAAAATCGTATACAGAGCGTCATTCACGCTTTAGTCTTCGTTTGTTCGACTGACAGCGAAGCAAGCAAAATTAGACAGTACTGCGATGACATTACAATTTAAATCTAACGTTTTAGCTTTTTCATATTACTTTACATGTCACTACGTTTAAATAGGTTGACATGGGACATTTTTTTCGTGGTTTTTGTATTAGACCCGTCGTCCATTTATTTGTAAGTCAATGATTGGTAAGTTTGAATTTTTGTTTGCCTGTCAAAGGTTGTCATTCTAAATGTATATAATTGATTAATCATAAAAATATTCGAACAACATGCCCATTATAATCAAAGACAAAATTCTTTCAAAACCACAACATGCATTCGCAAGACGTTTTCAAATGCATTTACACCTTGAAAAAAAGAAAACCAAAAGTTTTTGTTTCCCCAATATGCAGTCAAGATAATAAAATGGAGCGCAATCGAGGCCGCCTGTTTACAATAGCTCCACCGATATTTATACGTTTATAGACATGATACATTAATACTGCTTTATGACGGCATTGTATCACAGCTACTTTAATGTCATCAATACATTTATACGTCTACTGCTGGGCAGGGGTCTCCTCTTGGGCGAGGGTTTTAGGTCATTGTCCACCCCGCTGGCCCATTTGGGGACTTCACACGCTTTTCAAGGATTATGAACTTTCTTCTATGTTCAGGTTTCATTACGATGATTTTCCTTCACCAAAAAGCGCATGGTAAATTTCAAATTAAATCTCGCACAAAAATTCCGAAGTCGGCGAACCCGAATTCTAAACCACAGCTTCTTTACTTTAACGATATTACCAATTTGTAATAAGAGACTTAGAATACCACAGAACATAAAGCAAACCATGACGGAGAGTGTGCAATGGAATTGCATAATTTGATTCCACCTTCCCCTTTCCATCATCGGGGGACTAGACGTGGGCTGGATTCCACCCCTATGTTGTGGATATTCCCATGATTCACACGAAGCGTTTCGCTTTCACATTTATTTGGCGAGCGGCTAGAGAGTAGAATTCCCTGCGTGCGGACGTATTCACCGAACGCTATAACTTAGACCTTTTCAAAGCGAGAGTGAATAGGCATTATTTAGGTGTGCATGCTACATCGTCAACCTCGTCACTTATTTTTGATAAAAAAAATCGCTGTCATAAAAATTACAATCACAAAAACGTTATAATGAGAAATTTTACTGAAACAGTTTTACTTATGGTGGTTTATGTTGACCAGCAATGTTTTAGTGTATAATTTTTTTGTCACAGTTATTTGTACGTAGATGGTATGTCTATAGCACATTTTATTGAAGTCAATGATACGCCCTTAGCTTCTCATTTTGTGTTTTACGATAACTTTTGTTTTAGAGTTTGTGTTTAATGTTAGAAGTGTACGGAACATAATTTTGAAAGTTTTTATAGGCAATATGGTACGTTTAGTATTAAAAGAACACTGTAATTATGCTCACAATGATGAGAGACACGTATAATACGCACACACGTACACAGACAACCACACACACAGGAACGCGGGCCCGCGCACGCGCGCACGAACGAAGTTAACCGATAACTTATAGGATGAGTGTACCAGGTTGTACCACATAGTCATACCATATTTAGTTAATCATGCTCTAAATAATAAACATATCGTACTGTTAATACAATAGTGTACTAACTTAAAATGTATATTTTTTCAGAATCGATGATAATCGAATTACTCACTTTCCGTGACAGCTTATTAAAATTTATATTTGAATTTAAATTTATATAAATTGTATTTAAAATTACACGGTCAAAGTTTATTACAGACATGAAAACAATTTTCTACTCGCCAAATATACTGATATTTGCGTAACGACTTATACATAGTTTTGTCTCATTTTGAGTTAAGTAGATACATATATCTTTCAATTGTTTCTTGCAATATTCTAATGACGCTTTTATTGACGTGTAGAGAATCATCAATTTTACGTTCAACATTAGTATAATCTCGAATTTCACATATTTTGAGTTACAACACTGTTGTAATAGTAGCGTGATATGTTGAAAAAAATTCTTTACTAGAAATATTTGGTTTTCGGTACAGAAGAGTTGTTCTGTTAGTAGTATACTAAAATAAATGGAAACTTTAACCAGGTTATCAGTTGATTTTTTGTAAAGAGATCTCAAAATCTAGAAATTATGAATTGAAAAAATTTTTTACGTGCAATTTCGAGAAAGTACGGATTTTTAATACTATATAACGTATACGGAACGGAACGGATTTTTACGTAATTTTTTGGCTAATGTGCTAGTGAAATTAGGGATATGCAAGAGGGATGCAGAAGGGAGGGAAGCTTAGATACATATCTTATAGACTAACATAATAATAATAGAACAAAACGTATTTATTTTTAAGGAAACGTTGTTATTTGACATCCTTCGGTCAAAACTCCTCCTTCATGAAAGTCGAGAGATGTTCAGTTGATACTCTCACCACAAATTAACTAAAATTCACATTGAGGCGGGACTTTAACTGTTCAACCCTCAGGGCTATTATATTACGGCAATATCCGAGGACTTTATGGAGTACTGAAGATGTGACACGTATAACAACGTCGTCGGTACTGCTGGACGCAATAGATTTTGCCACGCCTTGTCACACTGGTCAACTCGTCTTCGTGTTACTAACGACACAGATCCAGATGTGAGCTCTCGTTTCCATCCTCTTCGTTGATAAGTGCTTAAATCGTGATCGTGTTTTATGTATAACGATATTGAAAGTTTGCTTGTGATATTTTTTAGATAATTTCTAAAGTAACTACAGTTAATTTGTATAACTGTAAATGCATACAATCTGTCGCTGACGAAGGTGAAAGCTGTTCGGAAAACTCATTTGTTTTAGGTATTACAACGCTAAACGCATTTAACACATATAACACATTATAATATAATTTAGATTACATAATCTTTTTCACGGTCCGTGGACTAGTAGAGCTCCTTTGGAAAGAGTTAGTCCAGGGAATACTGCCACCTTATCTGTTTCTGCCGCCAAATAATAATATTAAGACAATTATTGCATTTCGGTTTTAAGGGTGCTGGTGAATTTACAGGCACATGGTACTGTTCAACTTATCTTTTAGGGCGATAAGCGCGGTGGCAATGCCCCTGAGATTTTTGCTATTTAAGACTGTACGGCAGTGCAACTGTTACGGACAGGCGTGTCGCTTACCACCAGGCGCACGACATGTTCGTCCCATCACTTGATATCATAAAAATGGACTGCTTCTTGATTTGCTCTTTTTAGTCGCTTACTTTAACCTGTTCTTTTATTTGCTTACTGAATATTATTCTATATCTACTTCTCCAAGTCCATACAGAATTCTATGGTCTTTCTTTTCATCATAACATAATGTAATGTAAAACAAGTCTACAACAATATCTATGTAATGTACTAGCGTTATATATGAAATAAAAAGACCATGGTTACTTCGTTTTCAATATGAAATTACATAGAAAATGTAAATAGGAAATGTACTTATTACATTTGTTACAAAGGGAATTAAATGTTAGAAAGGGTCTGTTATGAAAAAAGTTGTTGCTCATTTTTAAACATTTTGCTTTTTATTCCGCCATTTCAAAAAAAATAGTGTCACTGATTTTGAAAAAAGAATAAACAAGGAATTCATCATGTTAATGGCCAGTATTATGTTTTAATTGGAAATAGTTATAAGAGATTACTATTCAGCCGCCACTCCTGGATATTGTCTTCTGAGCGAGCTGTACTCATATCGATTTCATCGGAATTTAAAGTAACTGCCACACTCTCTCTGATCATGTTTCAGAAATTCTCGTAAGCTGTATTTTTCTAGGGCGCATTACATATTTTTAGCTAGTGTATTTTTCTTGGCTTAAACGATAAACTCACGTTCCTATCGTTATTGGACGTTCAAAACGGCCTTTAGTAAAATAAGTCAAGGTTTATTTTCCTTTGCACGAGCTATCGTTCTCGAAACTATTAGACAGTCCAGGGTCAAGTTTTCTATGGCCTTTGCCTAACCTTCATTTCGCAGTTTCTATCTAGTTTCACCTACATCGTATCTTACATCACACTTTATTTTACAATAAAAACTTCACAGATATTTTCGAGTTATCCTTATACAGTTCGGCTGTATGTTTTTAGATTTCTCCGTCAATTGTGGAGCGATTTTGAAAATTCTTTTTTGTTTTAAAGGGTGCGCTTTCGTGGTGGTCACCAAGTCAGATTCTGATGAAAGAAAATCCTCAAATTTTCTTTCTCCAATCAAATTGTAGACATATTTTGAAAATTCTTTTTTGTTTGAAAGGGTGTACTCTCGAGGTGGTCCCTGATGCCGACGATGCTGTTTCAGCTATCACAAAAAAAAATATTTTCTGCAATTAAAAATCAACTTTTTATTTGACATAATACAAGTAATCAAGAAATCACGGTCACCGTGACAACCAGAAAAAAATATAAAATGTACAAAGCCGAGAAGCGACTTTTGAGGTTGTTTTTTTTTTTCAATGAAAAACTTACAATTAGTAATAGGAAGATT